TTACTGTATTTTGTTCAAATAAATGCAGCCTTAGTGAGCATAAGAGACTTCTTTCAAAAACTTTTTTTTTTTTTTTTTTAAATATTACTAACAGTATAAAAAAAGAGAAGAAGAACACAAGAAAATAAAAAAAAATTCAAAATGTAAATATTTACCAGTAAACAAAAGCTAGACGTACAAAGTTGGCGACAAAAAAGGCATCTTCATGGAGAAATAAAATGAAGTTATCAAAGTTATTAGATTATTGATGTAAAAAAAAAACCCGCCTCAATAATGAATAGCTGACACCAGCCATTACTATTCATTCGGTGTCGAATGTAATCTATTTTTTTTTATACAATTTCTGTTGGCCAAAAGAATGGCTTGGTATTTCCGTACATTTCCTCTAGCCCTAAAACACAACACAATGCAATGTGTAATTATACATAAAATACAAAATATACTCAAAACACCTGTGAAAAGCCATATTGGGAATTCCATCATATTAACAAATAAATCACCGCCTCAATAATGAATAGCTGACACCAGCCATTACTATTCATTCGGTGTCGAATGTAATCTATTTTTTTTTATACAATTTCTGTTGGCCAAAAGAATGGCTTGGTATTTCCGTACATTTCCTCTAGCCCTAAAACACAACACAATGCAATGTGTAATTATACATAAAAATACAAAATATACTCAAAACACCTGTGAAAAGCCATATTGGGAATTCCATCATATTAACAAATAAATCGGCCCCTTTTTCATGGGCTTTTCTTAGAGTGTATGTTGCATTTTTACATTTTCATCGATTGTCTTGAGTTTCATACTGTAACAGGGCTGACGAGACGTGAGACGTTCGGATCCAAATGCAAAGCTTTATTTCAGAGACGTGGTAAACAGGCAGGGTCAAAACACTGGCAAACAGGTATATGGCGGGCAAAACACAAGAATAATCACCGGGCTAGCGTAGGTCACCGAACAGCAGACAGAGTCACAGGGGCAAGGCTAAAGGGAGGAATCCAGGAAAACAGGCGAAGATCAAAACCGGAGAAAACAGACAAGGCAAGGCAAAAACTAGGAAAACACAGAGACTCGGAAAGGGGTACAGGCTAAACAATACTCAGCAGAGAAATGTGGTTAGAGTGGGTGTTATATAGTGAATGAGGTAATTAGAAACAGCTGTGTGCAACCAGAGCAATCAGGTGTGTGCAATTCGTGCTGAGTGCAATCAGTGCAATGCATGATGGGAAATGTAGTCCGGGGTGATGTGCAACAGTGTGTAGTGCGAGAGTCAATGAAATTAGAAGTTCATGGACCGGATTCGTGACACATACTATGGAATTTTGCTTAAAAGCAATTATATAGACAATTTATGTGACCAAATGTGAACAATAATGAGGTGTAAGCACAACAACAGTGTTGTGTAGGCTGTTAACAATACGAATGTATAATATTTAATTATTTAATAGTGAAGCATGTTTTGCCTGTCAGCCGGTTGTGGGTCATGTGACAGTCAGCTTTTGAAACAGTGACCTGATGGCTTTTGTAAGGCTGGTTTTGTAAGGACTCTACAGTGCTAATCAGCTGTGTATTAATAAAGTTAAAGGTTTAGAGGTTTATTTCTAGAGTGCCTGGAAGCCTCCGTGTCAGTGGTATAGTACAATTCATGTTTATTTATACTATCGAGAGAAAGAAACATCTCAGGTAGGTATTTTTTCTGTTCTGTTTTATTATATTTTTGAAAGTTCATCTTAGCTAACATGCTACTTTTGCCAGTAGAGAGAGCTCTTGCCTTTGTTATGGCCTGGTTTCAGTCCACTTTTGCCTTGACTTGCACAGGGTTTTATTTTTCTGTTCACAAATGTCTAGTTGAAACAGGAAGTTGGGGTGAGATGTAAATTTAAAATATGTATAATTGGAGTAGTAGTAGAAGAAGAAGTAGTATATTAGTATTATTACTATTACTATTATTGCTATTATAAATACATAAAAATATATTTTATACATTTATATTTTAATTTCATTCATTCATTTATTTATTTTATATATTGTTATAGTAATACATTTATATATTGTTTGAAATAATAGTAATAACTTGTTAATAACTCTAAATAACAGCCCTCAGCTTCATTTCACAGTCGCAGCACAACTGTGTAAGGTTTCAAATGTTTCAGCTCATTGACAGCATGTTGTCTCTGCATTGGGGTAAAATGTCCTCTCAAGGAGCTGATTCTCTGTGTGCAGAGCCTTATGTACAAACTGGGATGTTGAGGCCAATAATGTCTTTCATTCTGCTCATGACCTCCACAACCAGAATCCAGGAAAGTAATCATCAGTGGAGGATGCACAGTACACACAGTTGTTATTTAGTAAATTGGAAGTTTGCATGTTGTGATGTGAGTTCTATGGGTAATCTAATATTAAATAATTTGAATTGGTGGTATTGCAAGTCATATAATAGATATTATTGCAAACTAGTTGCTAGTAAATATGTCATTAGCTCATTGTTGAATTGGGTCAACTATGTTATTTTCTGAAAGTATTTTATATTTATAACAAAGAACTGTAAAAGGTATTCTGGATTTTTCTTTCTTTCACTTTATTACAGTTTTTCACAGTTGCTACGACACTAAACCCCATTCTCTGAACCAAATTCTCAAAGGCCTAAACCCATTTGTCGAACGACATGCTATTCATTTATAGTTTTCGTTGACCTGTTGTGATTACATATTACATACGTATTTAATATGTAATCACAACACATATAACAACACATTACATATATTTTATAAGTGCTAAATGCAAAGTCAGAATACAGGGGAGTTTTGCGAATGTAGTTTGAAGATTTGGTTTTGTGTTTAATGTTGAGAGAAAATGGGTGACGTTTTCAAGAAATGTGTCTTAGCAATTGTGAAAAATTGTAAAGCTAATGACATTAGTGTTACTGTTCATGTAAATGTAATATGGCACAGTGACCTCAAGAGGGCAGACTTACTGTATGCAATGGGTTCATGTACTATATAGCTGTAAAATCTGGAATCCTTTATATACATTTTATATACTTATATATTTTTATTTCTATTAATCTTAAGGATCATGTGGTTCTGGCCTCAGTGAGAGGGAGTTGTTGCAAACATTAAGACCACATGAGAAAGGGTGTGTAATGCCAATCTTTTTTTCCCCTTCTTCTTTTAAACCAAAACTATGCAGCGCAAAGGGAAGAGGGCAAAATGCAAATAGAGTTTCTCCCTGTTCTTTCATCCCATTCCACAGCTGTGAGAGGTTTCATGGCATGTTTGTTTTATTTCTGTTGCCTCATCCTTATTCTACCAAGAGCAGCTTATTCAAGCATTTTATATGAAGAGGAAGTATTCACTATAACAGGCTATGTTACACTCGGTATGATCAACACTCTGTATAAACTGAATAATCTAACAATTATTCTGTGCTACAATACTCTACTGTAAATGAAAGAAGGCAGCATTGTGATTTAATATTCAATTTGTTGATTAAAAAAAACTGTATGAAAGATTCCCATTCGCAGTTGGACCCCTGAAGCCATTATTTAAATGAAGGTGAAAATCTTGGCATATACCATACATCAGCTCCATACACATGCTGGTTCCATTTGCCTGTTGCTAGGATACCATTGTGCACCATCAGCATTCCATGTGCAAAGGAACGTGCAGTGCTCGGGATGCAATAGATATGTATATAAAATACTCAGCCCGATGCTTTGCAAAACTTGAAAGGTAATATTTTAATATCACATATTCTCCCATCTCTATGGAAAAAGATAAACATGATACATTTACCAAATATACATTTAGACACACATGAAATAAATGAATTGAATTTGTGTAGAAATGGCAAAGTCCACTTTGCTGCTAACCCACCCATCGATACAAAAGACACTCTTTCAGAAGATTCTGCTAAGGTTAGAATGAACCATGCAGAGCTGTTGTAAATTACATTACACTTTAAATACACGTTGAGCAGTCCTTTCTTCATTTAACAACCCATTGTCCCTGGTATTGTCATGACATTACCACACGAGAATACATACTACATTCTTATAGGAGTTATAAGAAACTATCATATATTTCAATTATAATACATGTTTTTACAACCAAGGTTTTGAGTGCCTGACATGAGCAATAAACAATATTTATAAAGGTCCACAAAGAGATATAAGAATGTGTTAAATGAAATTATTGAATTGAAATAGCTGTTGATGCAATATGAGAAGTTTATCTGAAAGGCTGGACAATGTGTTGAACAATACAATGATAAATGCATAGCATCTGGAGTGAGAAAAATACTTATCATTTCCCATACCTTTATACCGACACTGATCTCTTACACTGTGAGCCCAGATTAATTCTAGTTATAAAAACAGCCATCACCTCATGATCTCTCCAATAGTCCATTGTAGAAAGAAAAGCATATTCCATCTTCCTCTGATTTTCAATTTCTTGAAAACTCCCCTGAAAAGTCAAAATGTCCAGAATATGCTCCATACGTCTGTGCTTCTTTTTAAAAAAAATTTTTAAATTTTTTTAATTGGAAAAGCTCAAGTTCAGTTGTATCTTGTGGTGGAGCAAGTCTCAGGTGTTTGTGTAAGTGCTAGTCAAAAATCAAATGTTTATCCTGAATTATGCATGGATTTTTTTGTACAGGAAGAGCACCCTGAATCTATTTTTGACCACTTATCATCAATGTGTAGACTTGGGTAGGTCTGGTGATTGTCTCTTTCTGTTCTCAGGGGTCAATATGGAAGGCTAGGAGTTTCTCGGAGTGCTGGTTGTTGAGGGTACGGAGGTTAATTTTTTTAATTGGAAAAGCTCAAGTTCAGTTGTATCTTGTGGTGGAGCAAGTCTCAGGTGTTTGTGTAAGTGCTAGTCAAAAATCAAATGTTTATCCTGAATTATGCATGGATTTTTTTTGTACAGGAAGAGCACCCTGAATCTATTTTTGACCACTTATCATCAATGTGTAGACTTGGGTAGGTCTGGTGATTGTCTCTTTCTGTTCTCAGGGGTCAATATGGAAGGCTAGGAGTTTCTCGGAGTGCTGGTTGTTGAGGGTACGGAGGTCAGGCAGCCGCAGCAGGAGTTTGGGGAAGAGTGAGCTGTCCTCTGGCCTTCGCCGAGTGATGAGAGTGCGAAGAGCGGCGATCAAATCCTCCTGGAGCTGCTCTACGGCCCCCACATCTGAGATACCTGAACGATCTGATACAGAGCAAAATAATGAGTAAACATTTAGTGGACGTAAACATTACAGCTATGTCTCAAACTCTAGTAAGCTGCCTCGCTGTCTGTCTATACAATCAACTACCTCAGACAACTAGCTCAGTATTAAAAACATACTTCAAATATTGCTAGCATATGGTAATTCTCTCAATTACAGGGAATCCAAGGTACCTGCAGAAACCAGCACCACAGCCATGAAGAGGGCCATCTCATCAGCCTCCAGACCCATGTTCCCCAGCTTCTCACTGAACTCAAACATGGCGTCCAGAAGGCCACCCATGCCTAGCACTCGCAAGGATGCTAATGGGTAGGTCTGACCATTTAGGAATGTTACAGTACGTTCCTTGGCATCAAACAGCGAGCAGAACCTCACCATTAGAACCTGCAATGAACCAAAGTAAGGGTTAGAAAAATAAGATCAAATAAACTGTTCAAGATTTGACAATAACTCATAAGGCATTGCACTGCACACATTTTGCTTTCAGACTTTAATTACGGAGTAATAATAAAGAAAAACAAATATGTAATGATATTGGTCTAGAGTCTTGCACAGTCTGTAAATATTCATCCATAACATTGATGAATAAATATTCATCAATACATAACATTGTATGCGAAACTTAACAAAACTGCTTGGGAAATCCGATTCATGTACAAATGACTTTAAATCAAATATTTTCAATTACTCAATTGAACCAGCTTACAGAATTGGTCTGAACTGAATCGTTCTTTACTCAGGGTTGCATAAACAGTGATATGCTCCTATATACCTAAATGATTTATGGCAGAAGGTCAAAGGACCGTGTGATGATATACTTTTTTCATTGATTGATTATTTATTAATTGATTATTTTGAAAGAATTCAGACAGACTTTCCATCACTACATCACTGTCTTCTTGTGATAGAGACCCCATACAGCACGTGCCAAACTCCGGTCCTGTAGGGCCACTGTCCTGCAAATTGTAGCTCCAACCAGCTCCAAAACACCTGCCTGGAAGCTTCTAGTAATCCTGAAGACCTTGATTAGCTGGTTCAGGTCTGTATATTTAGGATTGGAGCTAAACTCTGCAGGACAGTGGCTCTCCAGGAACTGAATTTGACACCCCTGTCATATAAGGTCACGGAGGAAACATTCTCAATTTGTTTGTTCAGTCTTAAGCACATGCGTCTAGTCTAGGACAGTCTGATTGACGCTTCTCACCTGAAAGGTTCCTGCCTTCAGCAGCATGACCTGATCATGTTGACTCAGGGCCTGAAACCCTGGAATGCTCTTGGCAAATTCAACCACTTCTTTAACAGCTGGAGTGAAGCACTGGGAAAAACTCTCCCAAACCTGTTGACTGGAGTGACTGGCCGGGGAGACGGGACATGCATTGAGAGGACATGCCTAGAGAAATACAGAAAGAAACCATTTTTTCTCATAAATTTGAGTTATAGAAAATATTAACTTAAGACCTGCAACAAATCAAATGTCATCAAAATAAGAAATGTAAAAAAACCTACCAGAACTTTAGCACCAGGGCTCCGTCTCCAAGGACAAGATGTTTGAGTGGAATAATTGTTGTGCTTCAATGGATAGCTTTGAGAAGGTGTAGTTCCCTGGTTGGGACTTGAGGACTGTGGGAAGTTATACTGACTGTCCATAACTTGTGTTTTTGGTTTGTTGTCGTAATTGGTGACCGGGCATCTGGATCGGTGTAGACAGCTTGTTGTGGAATGGATGGAATGTTCTTGGGGTGAGATGCTTGGCTGAGAGTGAGACTGGCTGTAGCCGGACTCTTGTATTGGATTATGACGGAAGGAAGAAGGACTGTTGTTACTGTTGTTGTTTTCGTTATTAATCTTTACTAACAACTTCTCCCCATTCACAAAGATATTGCGATAAGCTTGTGAGGCAGCGCCAATGGCCTCTTCTGACTGGCCACCTTCAGGGCTGGAAGGAGTCTCGGTGGGTGTAGTACAGTTGATGTCCATGGAAGCTGATTCATTAAGGCTGTTCATGTAACTCTGCATTTCGTCCAGTAGGCGTTGTTTCTCGCGCTTTGGGATGCGTCCAAATCGCACAGCTGGAAGAAATGGGGGTATAAATGTTACTATACAGAATGGTGATATACAAAGGTTTCCATTATCTTACAGCTTTACAATAATTCAATGTGGTATGAGAGTATTGTGAATATAGTAACGGCTAAAAGGAATTGTTAGACGTGCAGTGGAGTAGTTTTATTGACAATAGCAAAACTTGATTGCCTTACTGATTTATAAAATGGCCATTAAATACAAATTATTCATTAAAAACTTCCTGTAGCCCAAACAGGGGACAGTTGTGGCCAATTGGTTAGAGAGTCGGACTTGTAACCCGAAGGTCGCGGGTTAATCAAATCAACTAGTTGGGGGAGTGAATGTACAGTGCTCTCTTCCAGTCTCAAAACCTACGACTGAGGTGCCCTTGAGCAAAGCACCTAACCCCCAAACAGACACAAAAAATGGGCTGCATGTGGACGGTGTGCACAGACATCAGTGCACAGTGCTAATGACGAAAATTATGTCACATAGACAGGGATGTTTAAAAGGGAAGCATACTTTTGGCCTAAGGTTAACAGTTGTCCGTGATGGATGCTGTGCAGTGGAATACAGTACACAGTAGTGAGAGGTTCTTGTTTTAGTTTACTACCTTACATTTACTCATTTGGTAGATGGTTTTACTATATGATGTACGTTAGAACAGCAGGACCGCTGTATTGACAAATCAGCATTCAGTTTTATAAAAGACATGGAATCAGATTACATCCCAGTGGCCACCAAGCTTTCATATTAGGCTACGGCTCATATGCAAAGCTTCTGTTCTACCTCCCCCACATTTTCCCCATCCAATCTCCCCCTACTCTACCTCTCAGAGCGATTTATAGATCCTTCTACTATATAATACACCTCCCCCTCTCTCTCACTGTGTCTCTATCCCGTTGGGAAGTGGGTCAGTGGGTCACCCGAAGCAGAGGTGATGTCACTGAGGGTAATGAGAGATGGAGTAAATGACAGCAGATGAAATAGATACTGTCATGAGTTAAAGGCTTAGCAGGTTAAGGGTGTAAAGGGCAGAGAGGAGAAGGCATTAGAATACTTAAATGGTGAAACGTTGTAGGGCAGAGGATCATGATATGATGATAAGGAGCACCAAGTGTTGAGCAATGTGAGGTGCCTTCAGCAAGAAAGGTTAGGTTAAAACTGGTAAGATAAGCACTAATGCAAAACTAGGTCTATAGGTCTGTAATATAAAAATAATGTGAGGGCTTTTTGTGTTTAGAGGTGTCATATAGCACCATCACGTGGGGTGACAAGTGCAATGACATAATATAATGGAGGACGAATATAGCATCGATAATTCAGTAAGCGACATACAGTATTAGCTACAGTTTTTACAGGCAAGGACACCACAACATTACAGTACCCTGAAAAAGTTAAATCCATGAAAGTTATTCATATATTCATAATCTTTCAAATTAATTTGAAATCTAGTGTAATTACAGTGTGAGCGGGGAGGTAGGAAAACAAGGTCAAGTACAATCATGTGACGCTGAAATATGATGGTGCACATCACTTTACTTTTCTGCTTTTTAGGTCACCTAAATATGTACACTAGCCCCAGAAAATATGATTTATTATCAGCCTAGTTTACAAAGCTCCCCAGAGGCAACACTGTCCTGTATGGGCAAAGTGTGCTAGAGGACTAATCAAAAATATATTTTAGTATGCTTATAAACTGCATTCAATTGAAATAAAAGGCTCATAGCTTCTGGGTTACATCTACAAAGAACTTTATTAAATCCCAGCTAGCATTTGGAGCTTAATTAATCCTGCAGTACAGCAAGCGAAGACCTGGAAACACATTAAACTGCAGTGTACTAGGTTCTCATGTCATTTGTATCCCCGATTCCCCAAATTAACCTGATTTGCTGCAGTTTTTACAGTGAGTGATGACTTGTGGGATTTCAGAGAGCCCACACTAATAAATCAGTGGTGAAAGGAAACTGACAGAACAGAGTTTAAGCTATAGGTGCAAACAGTACAGAACAGATGGTGGATGTAGGGTTGAGGAAATATAAAGGAGAATCGAATGCATGTTTTAAATATACTTTAGTAGTGAGGTCACATTAACGAAATTTTGCAGGCAAAAAAGGTTAATTGTCTACTGCCAATAGTGTAGCGATGCATGAAATGTCACTTTATGTTGGTTAACATAACATATTTGTGCAATGAACTTGACCTGGACACAAAATCTGCTGGCAAAATTTTTTGCCCTCTCTTGAAACTCCAGATTTGCAGATTCTAACTGAAATGATCACTAGATTTTTAAAGCGAAACTTTGCATTATGCAGTTGCTAACTGATACTGAGCATTTTTATCATGTTGCTGAACAGTTGCTGTGGTGTTGCATGTGGATGTTAAGTTGGTTCTTACTGGCTTAATGCCAACCAGTCCAATTCTTGTCTGATTGCTTAGAAAAGTGCAGTTACTAGGGTGTACTTGGAGGTTACTAGAACATTGCTAGGTGGTTGTTTAACAACAGCATTCCTAACAATAAGTATGTGTAGCAAGACTGATATTCCCCCTAGCAAACACTGCAAATAATGTAGTCATATCAAGAATAATAACGTTGTTTATTGTTCATAACTGAATGTTTAAAGCTCATACCATCTCTGGACATGCCGACAGAGAGGCACTTCTTAAATCGACAGTGCTGACAGCGATTGCGGTTCATCCTCATGATCAGACAGTTTTCATTCTTCACACACATCTTATAATGGATGTTCTGCTGGATACTGCGGCGGAAGAAACCCTGAGGATAACACAAGATCAGAGTGAATGTGTGTGTTTCTGTAGGTGTGTGTGTGTGCGTGCGTGTAAAACATCAGGCACATGTGAACGGTTTCAGACCGACACTAAACACATCAGTTATGCATTTTGAGGGTATTTTATGAGCAAGCAGTGTGCATTTGAGTGTGTATGTGTGTGTCCTTACCTTGCATCCCTCACATGCATGGACACCATAGTGAAATCCTGATGCAATATCCCCACATACTTTGCAAAGCAACACCATACCTCCTGTTTCTAGTAACACAAATTGGCAACAATACGTTAGCAGTGGTCGATGGTCACCGAATTTGAGACAATATCAAGAATGACTCTGATAATACTCACTGGTAAAGGTACCCGTGAACCCACTTGGTCGCCTGCCGACCATTGGGTGAGAATAGGTGTTTTGCCCTGATGATGTTACAGTCGGGGTAACGGGGTTGACAGTGGTAGCACTGCTTACTTCTGGAAATTGGAAAACCAGTTTGTTGCCCCCTGTAGAACTGACATTGCTTCCAGCTGAATGTTTTCTAAGGGTGCCGAGCTCAGTGAAAGAGACCTCCTCCGGAGACGAGGGTTGAGAGAGTTGGGAGCTGGGAGACTGGGTCTGGTATCCACTGGATGGGCTTCCTGGGCTGGGGCTGAGGCTGGGGCAGGGGCTGGCGCTTCCTGTTGAGCCTGCATAGAGAATCACTCCTCCCCCTGTGTGTGTGAAGGAAAATAATATTACATGAGGGCAAGTTGGCAAGCTCAGTCATGAAACTCCAGATTGTGCAGACTGATAGATCCTTAATGAAACCTGCTAGTTATCAAATCGTTCACTACATGGCACAACCAGATTGGTCTTGTACATCAGCAGCCAATGAGATTGCTTGCTAAACATTTACATAGTTTGGTTCAGTGTTCACGGTAAACTCACTCCTCAGAAACCCTCCACCTCCCTCAGCTCCACCTGTCTAGATCTGTTATGGGTAATTTTATGTATGCTATTTACACAGCATAGCTACATACTCACAGCAGCATGTCTGCATATGTAATGCCAGTAACAAGTCATTGTACTAGCGGCAGCAGCAACAACAGCAGCACCATAGCAGATCTAGTGTGCCAATACCAGATATACATTAACATTATCCATAAACACACTAAACTACCCTGAGAGTTGTCATACTAGAAATATATCTATTTACTAATTTATAGGCCTGTGGAGAATCTGCTGAATTGGAATGTCTTAATTTACAACTTTCTTTATATCCCCTGCACCTTACACATTTGTTTATTAAATATTGTGACTAATTTCAACTATCAATAAGAATGTATAGTCGCATCTCAGTTTTACACATTTTGCATGTTTAAATCCAATCTACAGAATTCCACAAATTTGTCATTTAGTTGAGGCTTTTATGCAAAATGGCTAATCGCCTGTTATTTCTGATGCTTAATATCTTGGTTAAAGATGCAATGTAGAGTTTGAATCATTTAAAGGTCTACTATTAACTGAATGGGAACTTGTAATCTGTTCATAGTGGGTGTGGATGTGGTCTATACACAAACTGATTTCTATGTAAACTCGGAAATGTCTGACGTTTGAATCCTCTGCTAGCTACTCTCAGTCTGTCATCTCATCCTTCATCATGAATCACATGTTTCAGACCGCGCCAGTGGAAGGCTCAAACGTGAGAAATGAGCCAGGATGAGACAGACTGACTCACGTGTGCAAGTGCAATGTTGGAGTATCGGATTTATTTCAGGGAGTCGGTTCAATTCAGTGATTCGATCCGTTTGAGGTGGGTCTCCAAAAAGTGTTCAAATGAATGCATGCTGAATTTCACAAGTGTGTGTTAAATACCCCTTAAGTCACGTTGTGTCCATCGTGTAGGTGCAGCTTCAAAGTTCTTTCTTACAGTGCATGCTACTACACATACTAACCTTCCCGAGCATGTTAAACCGAATGATTAAAAAGAACCGACTCAAAAGAACAATTTGTTTGCGAATCATAAACACGAGAACTTCCACACCCCCACCACACGCGCTGCTCGCTCCTCTGGCGGCGCTCCAGTCAGAGCTGCCAGCCACCTGACCGCCGACTCACATGCTCTCCTGACACAGTGAACACCCCGAAAATACAATCCTCTTTCCGCAGTCCCGTGTCTAGAACAGCCGCAGTACGAGAGAAAAAAAGTCATAAACTGCCAGTCTGCTGCTCACGTTTGAAGAGGGCTTAAAACAGTAACCAAGACATGTTTATAATACTTGAGTCGCCAGAAATGCGTGCATGCATGAACGTGCCTGGTCACGTTTACTCGACATACGAGCTTATATATATATATATATATATATATATATATATATATATATGAAATATAGATAACTACATAACTCCCAATTTAATTCCACCCGAAATAAACACCATTTTCACGACCATTGTGGCATTTTACGGGATACACATACAATTTCCCTGAAGACCATGACACGAAACCTTTCCTAGGGTGTAATGTGTCTCGCATGCATATGGGTGAAAGTGAGTGAGTTTAAGAATTAATAAATGAACGGGTTATTGAATTATTTTGTCTGAATTTGCCCTTTTGTGGAATCTGCCATGAGGGAAAACAAACCTCCCACTCGAAAGCAATAATGATAATAAATGATAGATATAGACATAAACATACTGTGTTCATTTGATATGCAAGGTACATTTAAATAGGCTATAATCACTTTGTGAATGGATTTAAACCACAATAGTATAAACGTACTTTTCTATGTAGTTGTAAAAAAAAAACGGGGTTGACAGTGGTAGCACTGCTTACTTCTGGAAATTGGAAAACCAGTTTGTTGCCCCCTGTAGAACTGACATTGCTTCCAGCTGAATGTTTTCTAAGGGTGCCGAGCTCAGTGAAAGAGACCTCCTCCGGAGACGAGGGTTGAGAGAGTTGGGAGCTGGGAGACTGGGTCTGGTATCCACTGGATGGGCTTCCTGGGCTGGGGCTGAGGCTGGGGCAGGGGCTGGCGCTTCCTGTTGAGCCTGCATAGAGAATCACTCCTCCCCCTGTGTGTGTGAAGGAAAATAATATTACATGAGGGCAAGTTGGCAAGCTCAGTCATGAAACTCCAGATTGTGCAGACTGATAGATCCTTAATGAAACCTGCTAGTTATCAAATCGTTCACTACATGGCACAACCAGATTGGTCTTGTACATCAGCAGCCAATGAGATTGCTTGCTAAACATTTACATAGTTTGGTTCAGTGTTCACGGTAAACTCACTCCTCAGAAACCCTCCACCTCCCTCAGCTCCACCTGTCTAGATCTGTTATGGGTAATTTTATGTATGCTATTTACACAGCATAGCTACATACTCACAGCAGCATGTCTGCATATGTAATGCCAGTAACAAGTCATTGTACTAGCGGCAGCAGCAACAACAGCAGCACCATAGCAGATCTAGTGTGCCAATACCAGATATACATTAACATTATCCATAAACACACTAAACTACCCTGAGAGTTGTCATAATAGAAATATATCTATTTACTAATTTATAGGCCTGTGGAGAATCTGCTGAATTGGAATGTCTTAATTTACAACTTTCTTTATATCCCCTGCACCTTACACATTTGTTTATTAAATATTGTGACTAATTTCAACTATCAATAAGAATGTATAGTCGCATCTCAGTTTTACACATTTTGCATGTTTAAATCCAATCTACAGAATTCCACAAATTTGTCATTTAGTTGAGGCTTTTATGCAAAATGGCTAATCGCCTGTTATTTCTGATGCTTAATATCTTGGTTAAAGATGCAATGTAGAGTTTGAATCATTTAAAGGTCTACTATTAACTGAATGGGAACTTGTAATCTGTTCATAGTGGGTGTGGATGTGGTCTATACACAAACTGATTTCTATGTAAACTCGGAAATGTCTGACGTTTGAATCCTCTGCTAGCTACTCTCAGTCTGTCATCTCATCCTTCATCATGAATCACATGTTTCAGACCGCGCCAGTGGAAGGCTCAAACGTGAGAAATGAGCCAGGATGAGACAGACTGACTCACGTGTGCAAGTGCAATGTTGGAGTATCGGATTTATTTCAGGGAGTCGGTTCAATTCAGTGATTCGATCCGTTTGAGGTGGGTCTCCAAAAAGTGTTCAAATGAATGCATGCTGAATTTCACAAGTGTGTGTTAAATACCCCTTAAGTCACGTTGTGTCCATCGTGTAGGTACAGCTTCAAAGTTCTTTCTTACAGTGCATGCTACTACACATACTAACCTTCCCGAGCATGTTAAACCGAATGATTAAAAAGAACCGACTCAAAAGAACAATTTGTTTGCGAATCATATACACGAGAACTTCCACACCCCCACCACACGCGCTGCTCGCTCCTCTGGCGGCGCTCCAGTCAGAGCTGCCAGCCACCTGACCGCCGACTCACATGCTCTCCTGACACAGTGAACGCCCCGAAAATACAATCCTCTTTCCGCAGTCCCAAGCCTAGAACAGCCGCAG